GTCATAGATTATCAGGAAATCATATTATTGATAGTATTTTTTTTAAATTAAATTTATATAAATAAATTAAAAAAGTTAATGATATGAAAAAAAATATGGTTTTTAAAGATGGATATAAATAAGATTCAGATTAAATTAAATGGTTATTTGAAATTTTAGAGGAATACGATTAAGAACAAAGGGCAGGATTTTTATTCTTTACTACTGGATCATTTAAAGTTCCTTTTGGTGGTTTTTAGAACTTAGAAATTATTATTACTAAAACTAATAGTGATAAGTTATCTTTACCTGTTTCTCATACTTGTTTTCAAGAATTAGGTATTTAAAAATTACATGTATTTTATATGATTTTTTATTTTAGAGATACCTTTGTATCCAAATAAAGAGATTATGAAAGAAAAACTTGATTTTTCTATTAGTCAAGGATAAAAAGGATTTTATATAAAATGAAATTATATTTTCTATATTTTTATAACATTTTTATTTTATTATATTATAATTTTATTTGATTTTAAAATATTAGAAAATATAGAAAAAAAAAAAAAAAATTAATTTAATATTTTATTTCATTTATTTTTACTATTATTGCAATTTTCGAGATAATTTTTTATTATGTTAAATTTAAGAAAATAATATTAATCTAATAATCATAATATTTTATGTAATATTTTAAATAAAAATATTTTTGAAAAAAATATATAATAAATAGAACAAATTTACTTTAATTTTTATTATAGTTTTATATAAATGTATATTTATTAAAGTTTTATTAATTTATACTTTATAATAAAAATTAAACAAATTCAATAAAAGAAATAATTATAATGAAAATAAGCAAACATTATAGTTTATGTATATAAATATTTTCAATGATAAATAAAATAAAAAAAAAAAATTATTGATGTTGTTATATATATAATATTTATTTTATAACTAAAATAAATATATTTTAAATTATTATTATAAAAAAAAAAAATATATAATTTCAAACAGATTACAGATAAAATTTGATAAAAAAATAAAGGATAAAGTATAAATAAAAAATTATAATTTAAAAAAATTAAATTATAAAATTTTCTAATGATTCTAAATGATGGTTAAAAATAATAGTTATTAAATATAAATTAAAAGATATTTTATAAAATGAATATTTTAAATTAATAAAAAAATATAAATAAAAAAAAAAATGTGTATATAAATAAAAAATAAGAATAAATAGAAATTTGTAAATATATATATAATTATTTTAAAATAAAGAAATTATAAAATTAAAAAAAAAATATTTAAATATATTATATTTATATTTATATTATA